ATCTTGGGGCTGGCCTCGAGTTTGATACTATTCTTGAGAACTAGGCTTGCCTATGACAGATTTGAAAGAAATAGATTGTCAACAATATTGGTTAATAATTGTGATTACAGAGTAAATAATCAAGTGTAAATCGAAGTTTGTAGATTTGTTGATCATTTTTTTTTTTACTCACGGTGAAAAATTATTGAGATCGTTTTTTGTTACTTATTTTCTTGATTATAATTAAACCTATTTATGCTTGTAACCATGGTTGTAAGCTGGCAATCATGTACCAATAGTCAACAAGCAAGTTGGCGATTTTGCAATTCAAGAAGTTGTTCACGGGCAATTCCACATTTTTGAGAGATTTCTTGATTCTTGATACCTTGTTGAAGCACTCACGGTGTACTACATATGGTTCGTAGGGAAACATTATAAACTTCTTATTTCCTAACTTTCTTTTATTATTTTCATAAATATTAGTTTAATATTATTTAAATTCATCTAAATCCACTTTTCCTATATTGAATTACAAAATCTATTAATGAATTTATTTATTTTTCATTGTATATATATAAGAAATGAACTGAACATTCATCTCATGCTAACCATCAATGACATATTTATTTGTGGATTATAATTTAAATTAAATAAATAATATTATATAATACAATTGAAGTGTACACGTGTCACATTCTATTTAACCCAAATAGAAAGTAATTAATATTTAATTGAATAAAATAAATAACACACAGCAAAGCCTAACAGTGGAGGAGCTTTGGCACGAACCCATCAACATGCATATCCTCCCCTTTTAAACCTTCCATAAAAATTATTACTCTTTGAGCCCAAACTCAAGTCTCACATTCGAGCTATATCAAGTAAACAATCTGAATATGGGGTGGCATATTTTAGGTGCAAGCAACCCATTCTTTGCCTTAATTTCTTATTCACCTGAAAATACTTTTGAACGAGTAAATATAGTACCATAATCTACTATATTAAAGAAAACGACACCACCTTTGTTATAATCATCATTTTGAATTAGAATTCAATCTTGTTATATTGACAGAGTCAATGACAAATTCAATTACATAATGGATACGTGTCAATGCATGATTGAACATTTTGATTAGAAAAATAAAAATACAACAACCAATCACATCCTGCCACAATACCCTATCACCTCACCTCCTGTCATTGACCCTAGCCAAGGAGCATTATTCATTAGAATTTTCCTTATGTGAATTCTCTTCGAATGAGAATGAAACCACAAGATTTGGATAAAATTTTACATGCCTTTGTTAATTCCTCTAGAATAGTTTAAATAATTAATGGCTAACAATTTTTCATAAACTTAAGACCACAATTAACTGACTCCAAAATAATAGCTAACAATTGCTAACAAATGCTTGACCCATTTTCCTGTACGTGCACATTATTTGACAAAGTGGACTAGGTCAAGAATCTCCCTGCATGCACGTATCAATACCTCCCCCTCAAGTGGACACTTGACCCCAAGGTCCACACTTGGATACTGCTTCAGGAGGTCTTCGATGTTTCTCACTTGCACTTGCTTTATCTTCACACGGGTTGTCCTCTATCATCTCTTCACAGGTAATTTTGCTCGTGTTTGTGCATCCCTCAAGCAGTAAAAGTTGTGATATTTGGCACTTGTGAGCAGCATTAAACCTATCATTTCAAATTTTCAATCGAAACAGAGACCCTGTACTCTCCATTTCTGCATTTCATCCCACGTGAGCCTCATGTTGGAATGGATAGCATTGGAGTTGGCAGGGTCAGCTGCGACCCGTTGGCTGGAAGTGGCCGTGTGAAACTCTGTTGGCGTAGCAGCTGTTCATCTCGCATCCGAGCAAGGCTGATAGCTTCCTTCAATGTCCATGGTTTGAACATACGAATTCCTTCAGCTATCTCCGGTTTGAGTCCACCCATGAAAGTTCCTACCAATGCCTTCTGAATCCAACCTTGTACACGGTTGCCTAGCTTTTCAAATTCCCACTGATATTCTCGCAAGGAACCTCTTGCAAAATATGTGAGAGAGCTTCATCAAAATCTTCTCCATCAATGGGTCCGAATCGAGCCCATAGTTCTTTCTCAAAGATTTCCCATGTCACTGACCGGCCCACCTCTCTATAAGCTCGACGCATCCATTGCCACCTCTAGTTGGCTTCTCCTTCAAGATGGAAGGAAGCCAAAGATAGCCTCGCCTCTAGTTGTCTGTCTAGCCTTGATACTCGAAGAATTGAGCCACTCGATTGAACCATTCGGTTGGATCATCTTCGGCGTAGTTCGAAAATTCCACTTTGGCCATCTTTGATGAGAATAATTGTCTCCCACCATTACCGTCCTCTTAGTTCTTCTCGTTGTTTGTATCCTCTTTGTATGTTCTCGAGAATTCCTTCCCTTTCATGGTTGTTGTGACTAGGCGACGCCTTGGATGACAACAAAGCTTCTGAGATCTTGTTGATTGTATCCTCCAATTGGTGCAGTTTGTTAGACACGGCCAATTTAATCCGTTGCATGCCTTCCTGTACTCCGCCGAGTCCAACCTCCAGGACCTCAATTCTCTCTTTGTTGGATGCCATAGTGATAAAGCTCTAATACCAATGATAGGTCCCAATTAGAAGTTTGATAGTAACTGCTAACAGAATTCTCTTTGGGTGAGAATGAAACCACAAGATTTGGATAAAATTTTACATGCCTTTATTAATTCCTCTGGAAGAGTTTAAATAATTAATGGCTAACAAATTTTTCTAAACTTAAGACCACGATTAACTGACTCCAAAATAATAGCTAAAAACTCCTAACAAATGCTTGATCCATTTTCGTGCACGTGCACATTATTTGACAGAGCGGATTAGATCTTCAAGATCCAACTGATCTCCCTCCATGCGCACGTATCATGATGTGAATCAGATCATTGTTGTTGTATAAGAATTGTCATGAATTTTGTGAAACTTTTGACATTTGATGTTATTGATGTTAAGGGGTTGTTTGAGCCAATTTTTTTTTGTTTTTAAAGATGTATTTTGCAATAGTTTTATAGTGGAAAATATGTGGTTGAAAAATAAGGAAAAATTTTGGATTAACGTGTAATATTATTTTATTGAACAATGTGTTATTGAAATTGAGTCAAGTCATTTTTCAAGGATGCATTTTGATTAAAAAAAAAAAAAAAAAAATGGAGCTCAAACAAGGGGCTAAAGCCATATTTAGCGCTGTACCAATCTTTGCACCAAACCAAAATTCATCGTCAACCATTACACAAAATGTATGGTGTTTAACCATTTTCTTTCCCTTTTTATTCTTAATAATTTATTTAGTTGAAATATTATTTATTTAATTATTTTATAAATACATAAATTCAATTCCTTCTTGAATAATCCTAGCGAGTTCCCCGGACTCCATGGTCACTGATCTCGAGGCCGAGGTCACATGTGGTATACCCGAGGCCCCTGCTCCGCCATTGTCAGGGACATGAGCTCGAGCTCGAGCATCAGCCATAAAACCCCCTGGGGTGCCGGTGTGGGTGATGGATGCGAATTTCTTTGACTTAGCAGCTGAGTCAATGTGGCGACCTATTGTCTGAGCTCTTCAAAGGCTACGGTAGTGACGACTGCCGGCTGGGGCTCTGGCACTTCTGATGATTCCTCTTGAGGAACAGGGATATCCTCAGGAGGGGGTTGGTTTGGAGCGGATGAGCTTGCGGGTGGAAGACCTGATCGTGTGTTTACCATGACTTTTGGTAGCGGTTCCCACAGACGGCGCCAATGATGCTACCAAAAATCGTACCTGTAGATTTTCCGAGCTTGATGACTGATGATGAGCACGAACGTGATCTTCCGATACCTGAAACAAAGGCAATGAGGTGTGTTCTCGTCGCCCCTCCGATACTTAAGTCAGAAAGGGAAATATATGCGTGAGGCTATGTGCTGAAGAAAAATGTAAAACGTACCTGAATAATGGCCCAAGGCTCTGCTTTTATAGGAGTAGGTAGTGTACTCCTGGTAGGATTGTGTTGGTTGGATGTTTTTATCCAAGGGAATTTCTATTATAAAGAGTATCCTACTTGTAATGGAATTGTTTGACAAGTGGTGTAAGGGTTGATGTAAAATCCTTGGGTGTTTAGGTTTGTTAGTTAGGTACCCAGGTCTTACGAGGCATGTTGGTGGTGTATGTCTCGAGGACTGTTCTCGAGGACATTTAGGGAAGGTAAACGTGTCCTCGAGGTATCTCGACGACTACGATACCTCGAGGACTTGGGTTACCCCGAAGACCATAGAAGAGAAATGAGGTGGGGGTATGTATTGAGTCCTCGGAGATAAACTCCTCGGGTATATCAATATTGGCATAGTCAGTATAGTTTTGAAAGGATATTCCCATTCCCTTAAATTTTTATGTACAATTAAACTATCATTTGAATTTTTTACTTCTATAAAATTTGTTTATACTTTTTTATTCTCAAGAGAGAAGCATAGACCTCGACGAGTATGGACATCTTTAATAGATGGTGTTCGATTGTCTTCGTGAATGTAAAACGCAGACAACATAATGACTTCATTGTGTATTGAAAACGTACTTATGTCACTAGTGCATCACTAAATTGGTGGGGGACAAATCTATAATATACTAAATATCACATGTAGGGATAATCATTTTTTGGACGATTCTACCCCTATTTACATGCATGAATAATAATTAACATTGAAAATGAGATGAAGGATAAAAGCATATGCACGTATAATAATAATTAACATTGAAAAGAAGGTCAAGGATAAAATCAAAGTTGCTAGGTTCATGATTGCAGAAGTCAAAGAGTCCTATGACAACACACAAACATTAGTAGAAATAAAAACCTAAGTTCATGTACTCATATGGTAGTTCATGTACACACTTCTTTTTCTATATTCATTGATTCAAATTAATTAGATTTCATGTTCATGAATGAATTTGATTTTTGTCATGAGTTTTAGACATAAATAAATTAATCTCCCAACTATTTATATTATTTTCACAAATTGGTGGTTGTTAAAATTGTTTGGGGGGGGGGTAAGTTCATTCAATATCGACTCACCTCCATCAGAGACGCTACCAGAATGGGGCAAAATTGCCATTTCTTCAAGTCCAGTTGCGGATGCCAGAAGATATTTAACAAATTCCATTTCGGGCTCGACCCCTGAGAAAAGTAGCATATCCACCGTTTTGAGCTGGGCCAACAAGCAATCAGAGCTCTTTTGTGCTCGGAGATATTCTCCCACAGATTCCACAACATCGAAGGTGAATGCCTAAAAATGAAAGACATTCGTTAAATAGGTTCCCAAAGGGATATTGCACTGAAGACCAAAAAAACAGAACAAGATTAGAAATTGTCTTACTGTGATTTTAAGCTTCTGTAAATTGGGAGAGCTTCTAATCAAACAAAGAACACAAGAGATCTCCTCAATTTTTTCGAAATACATATCAGAGAGATGAAGAATTTTCAGAGTTTTCAAAGTGACCGGAAGGTTTCTGGGTAAACCATCCTCAGCGAGTTCCTAGAAGCAAAATATGCGGACGAAAAATTAGAGCCAATAGATAATAGTTGAAAGAAACAAGTTAAATTGCAAAAACTTTACTTTAGGATTGCAATATCCTTACCTCCAAAGCGAAAGCCTGCAGATGCAGTTTCTCAAGGGAAGGCAGACAACTTAGAGAGTCGATTAAATTGGACGAGAAGGATTTTCCTGTTTTGAACTCCATCGAAGAGAAAGATATAGAAACTTCCTCAAGAAGAGGGCTATTTTTGAAAGCGATGAATCTGAATACCCCGTGAAATTCTAGAAATTTCAATTTGGGAGAATCAATTTCAAGGCAATCGAAACTGGTGCAGTCAATCATCCTCAACCGTTCAAGCATCCGGCAAGCTGAGATAAAGCTTGCAAATGTTTCGTGCACAAGGTCAACATTCTGAAGATCGAGATTCAAAAGCTTATTAAATCCTTTGAATCCCGGTGGAGGGTTGAATACACATTTATAAAGTTTCAACTTTCTTAGCTGGTGAAAAGTGAATATACGAAAAGGTAACCTATGGCTGTCCCCCCGAGATATGTGAAGAGTGAAATCCTGGATAGTGTTGTTTTGCATAAGATCAACCCATTGATCAATATGGGGGCAACTTCTGAAAGCCGGGACCTGGAGGGCAAACTTAACTAAGGGTCCTCGATGAAGTTTTAGAATCGGGTACACGAGTTGCTCGAGTTTGTGATTTCCAAGAAACATCTGATCAAACCAAAAATCAAACACGAGTTCGGGACATGTTACCCATTTATACCTCCATTCTCTCGACAAAATACTCGTCCTCACTGCATCTCGTAATGGCAAACATCCCATGATATTGTCTATAATACTTCCCGGTAAATTGCTGATCAAATCCGCCTCAGATCTTCCACTACACATTCTAATGTCCTTACGAAGCAAATCTTCGAAACGAGAATCAGCAAAATTAATTTAATAACATGATCTTATATACTTGGTAGCAATTTTGATATAATTTATCGTAAAAATCACAAAAGATGAACTACACAAGGAAGAGATCACTGCTTCATAGCAAATGGTGAGCCAAAAACAATTGTCTCATTCCATACCAGAATTTAAGTGTCACAAAAATGCTAATGAACAATAAATTAGTATATAACAAGCTTAAGAACAGGACGTACAAGACAATCTTTTTCAATAATTATAACACCAATAATGTGGCAGAATTCACATAAAAGCACATTTAACCATGAACCCGCTACGTGTACAGAATAGGGCTTCACAGAAATCCTACAGACAACACACGAGGCGGGAGGTCGGCATTTTTTGCAATTCTTTATCACCCATGGGTCCGGCGTGGGGCCGATCTCATGTGTCTCTTCTGGGTTCTGTGAACACCTCCTCTGTACAAATGATTTTCCTCTTTAACCATACATCTCTTTTCTAGTGGAGCTTAAAGTTCAAAGCCAACTGACAAAATATGCCCTCCTAGGTAAATTTAGAGTCGCTTCGTGTGGTTATTCGAAGTAACTATATCCTTAACCATCACAACAAGCCATATTAGAGTATATTCCAATGTTCTTAAAATTAATTTTATTTCCTGACAAAACTTAATACCTAGAAATTTAACTTTTAAGAACAGCCAAACATAAGGCTAGCAAAATAAGTAGTTCTACTTCTCTATGAGAAATTATTTTTCTCAGGATAAAGAGAGATTTCCTTAAATAGATTCAGCATTAAAAACTTCCCACATTTTCTGGTGGTTGGTTAAAATAAGAAGAAAATGTTTCAACAAAAAATATGGCTCCGTTTGGTATATATTTTTTTCAAAACGTATTTTTCTCTCTCTTCTTTTCAACCACATATTTTTTATTAAAATAATATTACACGTAAATCAAAAAAATTTCCTTATTTTTCAACCACACATTTCCCATCAATTTACTATTCAAGAATGCATTTTTACATAAAAATGTCTTCCAAACACCCAAAATTATATTTACATATAGCCCCTATCTGGTTATGATATAAGTCTACAATCTAAATCAAAGTTAACAACAAATTTTAAACACACTTTTATTTAAACCACAATTTTCAACAGTACATTCTTTTATCAAAATCTATAAAAATCTAATTTCTATCAAAATCAA